CCCCCCCCCCGATTTATTCCCAGATTACCTTGGTTGATAGACTAATCAGTGCTAGCCTACTATCACATTTACATCTAAACTGCGTCTAAGACCCTGGCTTTGTGTGCTGGGCTGCTCTGATGTGCCAGTTTGCTCAAATATTCAGGCTGGTCCTGCGATGCTCGGTACAATCCAACCCAAAAGGTCTTTGTAGCACAGTCTGGAGCTGCGTTTGCAGTATGTTTTTCTTGTAAAAACAACAGCCATACAGCTGTTTTCTGAAACTTAAATGTGTTTCTAATTTGAGGAAATTTGAAGTTGCTTAGGACACAGAAAAAAACCCCCTACCCCCCAAAACAACCAACACAAGCATTCCAGACTTTAAAGGGAAAAGAAATAATACCAGGTGACATTTGGCTGTGGAAAACGATGCTGAGTTTTTTTAATCCTTCTTTTGAGACTTTTTTCTTTTTAAAAAGAAGATTTCCAAAGCTTACTAATTGCCGTGTCCCCCAGATGGCAATGATTGCCACGATCAAGGCTGCAGGTGTGGACAGGGGGAGGAAAAAAGGAGAAAGGGAAAGGAAAGGGATGTGTTTGCAGGCACTTCCGTCACTGTCCCTTGGTGCAGCGCAAACTGCCCATCAGGTATGGATGGAGTGCTGCTCTGAGATGCCCTCCCCACCATGGCACAGGTGCTTTCAGCCCTCAGGTTCTTACTGCTGGAGCACTGCAGGCTCCGCATCCACACACAGCTTTTCCTGTTACTGTTACCTGGTACTTTCTGGAAATTCCCATGGCTCCCATGGCACCAAAACACAGTGACCTGCAAGAGGGAACTCTGCCTTTGGGCAGCTTAAATGCAAACACACTTCTGTGCTATCAGGTGTAATATGAAGTTAAACAAAATCTACAGGCACATGGTGGAGTGCCTCTTCCATGCTCAGTTTCGAGATAACAGGGATGACGCTTGGGAGACCAAAAAGCTAACAAGCCAAGCTGGCTGGTTGGTAGGCCAGGCAGGCAGAAATACGACTACTTTGGGTTCAGTCTATTGAGGGAAACTTCAACACTACAGATATGTAATTTGGATGGATGTGGAAGGATGTGTTACCTGTATTTCTAGGGAGAGTTTAGGTGGCAGGTACTTATATTTGTCCTCAGAACTAAGCTGCAAATAATTCAGGGACTTAAGTAGTCCAAAGTCTAGGATGAGCTATAGAAAATCTTTTTTGGAAAAGCACTGCTAGAAATTGTATTGATGTGAGGCAGTTTATGTAACTCTTCAGACACAGAAGCTGTGGAAGATTACACCCCTAGGAAACAACATGCTTAGGTAATTACAAAGTGTCTTTAATTGATTTTTTTACAAAACTTCCAGAGCTAGTCTAAATAGCTGACACACTGGAATTTGTCAAGCTATCCAGAAAATGAATACATGGCTGCTAAGGGCTGGAAGATTTAATACCTTGTGAGCATGCTCCTCTGATGCTTGCAGCTCACAAAACCTGCAAGCTCAGAGGTGGCCTAGTCAGCTGAGCGTCCAGAACGAGCAAATGCCTACCAGCTGCTTTCCCCCTTTTTTTCTCTTAGCGATCTTCTCCACTGGTATTCTCTCTCCTGGTAACCCCAAAATACTTCC